GCCGCGCCAGAAGCAGCAAACGGTGCGGAATTGTGGACATTTCTTTGCGCATCGGGAGGAGGCCAACGTACTCGGCCTTTGAAAGGGATGCCTCTGCATACTTGGGCGAGTGAGGAGGACTGAGGGGAATGGGGAAGCATTGAGGGCAGAATTGAGGAGGGCGTCGAAGAACAGACATCGGCAGATAAGCAGACACCTTCCGAGGCCCGCGCGGACCTCCGAGAGTTTATGGTCATGCACTGCTTCCCCGATCGGTGCTTCCACTGGGGAGCCTCACTTCGGCTTCAAGTAATTTGACCCACGTGGCGGGGATTCCCCTGGTGCCCAGTCGGCTGCCGCCCGTGGGCGTCTCGTGGGCGCCCCGTGCGCTGGAGGTGGCTTGGCGCGGGTTCGCCTGGTGCCCCGGTCGGTTGCCGTCCCTGGGCGCCTCGTGGGCGCCACGTGCGCGCTGGAGGTGGCTTGGCGCGGGTCCGCCTGGTGCCCCGGTCGGCGGCCGTCCCTGGGCGCCCCGTGGGCGCCACGTGCGTCGGGCTGGTGCTGCGGGGGTTCGCCTGGTGCCCAGTCGGCTGCAGCCCTCGTGCGGGCTCAGGGCGGCAGATCCTTTCCAGAGCGTGCTGGAACGCTCTCAGAGCGTTCCAGAACGTTCGGGTAATCGAAGCAACAGCGCCATGAACATTCGATAATTTTTGGCGCTCCGCGCGGATTCTGCGCTGGCCCCCCCCCCGGCGGCGCCTACGGCGCCGCCCCTGGCGCGCTCCGCGCGCCAGGGATGGGGGTCCAGTGCAGATCCAAGGAATCCGCGCGGATCGCCAAAAGTTTATGTTTCTGCCGTTTTCTTATGCTAATATAGCTTACGTCATATTACTCCCACCACATAGCTTGTGCCACATGCACGCTGGTCGTTGGAAGCAGGTGTTTGTGGATATCCAGAGTTCAGTCTGCTTCAAGTGCCTTCCCACTTCAAGAGTCCAGCGGTTGCTCCTCCTCCCTCCTCTTGAGGAGGCGGGCGGAAGCCCAATCTACTTCCAACGCCTTCCTATTTCATGTTTCCACCCCCTTCTTCCGACAGGCGGGTAGCTTCCACCACGCAGCTTGCACCACACAGCTTGCATCGCATAACTTACTTCACAAAGCTTGCGCCATCTAGCGTACACCGCGCCGACGCTCGATAAAGCGCGGGGCTGAGGCACACTCCTGGGCAGTGGCACGATACATGCGCAGTCATGACAGCAATTTGAAATTAGCCGCCATGGAAGTCCGAACACACAACCATGTACCCAGATCTCCGATGGCTTGATTTTTCAGTATGGGCGTTCCTCCTGAATCTCCGTCTCTGGGGCCGTCATCGTGCCCCAGGACCATCAAACATTGATCCAGGACGACCACTTATCCCTGGGTAAGCGGTCTGGACCTATGGGACCGCGGATTGAAAGCGTCGAAGTTCAGTCAACCCGCATAGCAAAGACGAGCAATTTTCCAAACAAAGCATTGCAACGCAAATAATTGCCTTGCACAGCGGCACATAACAGAACATGGCATAGCATGGCGTTGAAGATCAAAGCGTAGCATGGCATAGAATGGCGTGGCACTGCGTAGTCAAGCACTGCATATCCTAGCATTGCAGCTGAAGGCATGGCATCGCACAGCGGAACACCACATAGCATTGCATTGCATGCCGTGGCATGGTACTGGAAATAATGAAGCCAGCGCTGCAGCGGGAGCACGATTCGGAACAAGCGAAAGCGCTGAAATGAGACCAGTGCTGCAGCGGGAGCATGATTCGGAACGAGCGGAAGCGCGGAAACCAGGCCAGCGCCGCAGCGGGATCACGACTCGAAACGAGCGGAAGTTCGAAAATGAGGCCAGCGCTTCAGCGGGAGCAACATGTCGAAAAAAAGCCCAAGTGAAAACCCAATTCCCGGGAGTCCTGTGTGTAAAGGAACAGTACGCGGAGGGGGAACGAATATCATCCGGACGTCATCAGGGGAGAGAGGAGAGTAGTAAGCATATTGTGTGATTGCGAAGTGCAAAAGGCGGGGGAGGCAGAGGGCAGGAGGGGGCAGCAAGAGGGTGGGCGCAGGAGAGAGCCCCTCCCACCAGTGGCCAACAGAAGCATGAGGTATCCTCCTCCTGCTCCTCCCTCTCTCCTCCTCCCCCGTCCCCCTGTCTCCTCCCCCGTTTCACCTTTCTCCAGAGTCTTCAGAGACATCCCGCAGACCGTGCGAAGATCTCAAGACCATGAATATGAGCACGACGCCAGTCGTCGAAAGTAGGTCTTCTGGGATGTCCACATCCCAATCTCTTTCCAGCGCCTGTGTACTTGAAGCGCATCTGTATGCCTTGATGCTTGTTGTTGCCGCTTTGGGCGGGCCCGAGCCCAGTCTACTCCATCCGACTTAAGTTTTCGGCCAGAGTCTCGATTATTCTTAATGTTTCAATGTAAATCCGAAGATTTACACTAGAAACTCTAGGTTTTTATTCAAATTCTGAGACTCTGAGT